AGGGGAGGAGGGAGGGTGGATAAACTACTTACAATCCAGGAGCCCTGTGCATTTTCCACGCTGGTTTAATTTTAAGATCTCCCTTTCTCTATGGAAGCCAGGGAGGAGTGAACTTTTCAGGTACACATAGGTGAGTTTTTCACTTGGCATCAACTTATAGGTTCCATTGGAAGGGCGCTCAGTGAGGGCAGGGCTGTGCCTGCCTGCCTGCCCTGTACAATGCTACACACTCAGGACCCAGAACAGTGCCTGGCACACAAATGCAGCTCAGTGAGTATCTGTTAAGTGAATACAATTACTCTGCAATTGCAGTTTATCCCCAGCTCCAGAAGGCTCCGTGGTGGGGTATCAGTGGTCTTTCTTGTGCCTTTTTCCCAGGCTCCCAGTAACTTGGGGGAGCCTCCTACCCACCGAGAGCTCATTTTTAACTAATTTTAATACACAGAGATTGAGCTAAAAAAAACAAACACAAAGGCCTATACCTCGGATGCTTTGTGGAAAACTGTAAAGCACCATTACTTGAGGATCATTAACTTGAGGATCGTGGAAATGCACTTGGTATCACAGACCTATATGTAATTATACATGTTTCCACGTGAATAATTTCCATCTTTAGGTGAGGCATGTTACATACATTTCAAAGGCCTTTCAACAGGAATGGGCTCTACAGAAAAAAGACTAAACAAATAAAAGTTCCGCAATCATAAAGGAGTGCTTAAAGGAGATCATGTTACTAAGTAACAGTGCAGAAAAGAAACACTAAGAGAAATCAAATGCAACAAGCAGCCACAAAGAGGACAAACTCCACAAGCCTGAGGATGCAAAAGTCCTTAGCTAAAGCAGGGAAAAGCAGAGGCCTGGAAGCTTCAAGGAATCAAGAAAAAGAAAGCCCAGGACCCTACCATCTCCTGCAGGTTTCACCCCAATTATTCTGGACCAACAAGTACTCTCATTTGTTGCTTAAAAACTCATTCCTGTTTTGTTGTCCAACATCCTCTTTCATGAATCTTTTTTTAACCTCACACAAGTATAACATGTTACAATTCTCAAAGTACTTTCACACAGATCACTTTCTTGGATGATTTCATACCTGAGCACCCAATGGAAACACAAAGACAAATAACAAAGAGCAACAATCTGCAGAGGACTGAATCAGCTAAGGATTCTGAATGGTTCTGGGGGCTCAATAGTGTAAGTACCATTCTGCGGACTAGAAATGAAGTCTGAAATACTAAGCACCTTGTTGACTTGTCCAAGATTAGAAGGTTGTTTCCATTACACCCTGCACAATACCTGCACAGCTAAGATGCTGCTTTAACTACTAATAAAGTTCATGGAAGAAAACACACCCCACACAGGGCAAGGACTCATTCTTCTCTATCAAGGCTGTCACATAATCTCTAAAAACACAGGAATTAAAAAGCTGTCTTTTCGATAAACATCTGCACTACACCCAGCACAGCCTAGGACAAAAGCTAAAACTGACCTGATTGACCTGCCAAAGTGAGTCTTCAAAGTGTCATTATTAATAAGCAAAGTACCCCTCAATAGCACGATGAGCTGTTTCTGCCTGGGCTGCCACTGAGGACCCCATTTCTCAATTTGATTTCACACAAAAAAATGTTTCCAGGGCTCTTGTCCTGTATTTATTTATTCACTTCTCCCCACCTTGTCACAAAAGTACTTAAAGCTGTGGTTCTAAAATATACCTGACAATTCTCAATTATTCAGGCTGGTTTTTCAATGTGTAGATTTTATCTTATTCTGGCTTTGTTCCCCCTTGATCCCCACTTCATAAGTATGCAAACATCTATAGTCCAGAAATAAGTTTGTAATAATCAATACGGTCAAACTCAGAGAAAGTGCACAAAGCGAAGTTCAGTTCTACTTAATCATGTAAGTATTTCCTTCCTATTACCACCTTTAGTGGGCCAGTGGCAAGGAGCCAGGTTCATGGAGCTGGGAAGATGGGCAGTGACGGAAAGGAAAAGCCTAGGGGAGTCCTTGGACTCAAACAGGAAATGCTGCTGATAGAAAGTGAATCTCCTCCACCCCACCCTCCCCTCTTCCGCTAAGTCTGTGACCTTGGAATCAACTTTTCCAGGCCTCAGTGACTCCCTGCCAAGCAAGGGTAATTGGGAAGAGCAAAGAGGCATGGACATGAACGTGCTTTAGCTTCATTCATGTAAGTGATCATTTTTAAGTGGAGAATTCCTTTCTGAATTAACCAGTAGGGACTAGGTGTGCAGGGTAAGCAGTTTGTTTCCAGGGAGAACAGCCTCACTCCCTGATTCTCAGGGCAGCACTATTGGCCTCTTTAAGATCACTCAGTCCTAAAAGTGTTTTTCAGCTTACAGGAGACATGAAAAAGTGCTCCCTCTCTTTTCTAGGGACATAGATGATTTTTTTTTAAAGTTTTTGACAGGGACACTTTCTCACTCTGAGTTGTTTCACTAGTGAAGAATAATTATGCAACCTAGTACCTTTCTTAATAAGAGAGCATATTACCTGACCCAGAGCAACATTTCTGGGATCTAAATCACAGTTCTCTCTCACATGCTGGTTGTTACTGTTAACACACATGTAAAATCGCACCAGGGTAAGCTACAACCCAGAACAAACCATCAGCCTTTAAAAAGGCTAAATCATAACCTGGTTTTTGAGACCCTCCTAAGCTCCCACACAGCCATAAAAACTAAACAATAGGGAAATCCATNACCTGGTTTTTGAGACCCTCCTAAGCTCCCACACAGCCATAAAAACTAAATAGGGAAATCCACCTAAGGTGGGTCCAACTGTCATAACCCCCAAGACAGGAGTGGGGCAAGATAGGCTTTAGGAACTCTTGCATCATCTAAGATCCTAGTTGCTAAGGAGAGCCTAACTAATCATGTTCACTGTCCATGAGAGTACCTCCTGAAAAATGGATTCCAGAAATTATTTTTACCTTTCATATTCAGGGTCAGTAATGAAACATTTGGCGACTGTTCCTTCATGGATTCCACAATGCACTTAATTCTATTCTCATTTCAGGCTTTCCGAAATGTCCCCTCTTCTCTCTGTCTGTTAACATGTGGTGACCCTAATTAGTCGCTGGCAGAAATAGATCAGGAATCCACATATTCAGATTAATAATATTAGTAAAAATAATAATACATAATAAATGCCTTCCGTGATCCTCACAGGTCCAAAAAAAACCAGATAAGTATGCCTCCATTTCCACTTTCCAGATATCCACCTCAAGTGCTATTTGGCAATGGTTCATGGCAGCTTTACAACCATAAAATCAACTTAATATGTAAAAAAGTTTCATAGGAAATATACATCCAAGAAGCTCAAAGGGTAAAATGGACAATTCTATCCAAGGGGGAAAAAAACCAAAAAAACAAATAACTAGAGTAGATGCCTTTTCATCTAAACTGCTTGCTCCTTCCCAAAACAACTCCAAGAATCTAAACCTACAGCCCGGCGGGGCGTGGCTCAGTGGTTGAGCATCAACCTAGGATCAAGGAGATCGTGGTTCGATCCCCAGTCAGGGCACATGCACAGATTGCAGGCTCGATCCCCAGTCGGCGGGGCCATGCTGGAGGCAGCTGATCAATGATGACTCTCTCATCATTGATGTGTCTCTCTCTCCCTCTCCCTTCCTCTCTCTGAAATCAATAAAGATATATTTTTTAAAAAAGAATCTAAACCTACAAAGATAGCTTCACCCCATCACTGGTCTGTTCTCTACATGTAGGCCAGCCTACTTCCTACCCCTCCAACAAAATTCTGTTTTTCAATTGCACACATTTCCAATGACTGAAGAGTGGCTGTTTTTCTTCTTGGGCAGTATCCTCCTGAAGAAAGAGACCCACTCTGTTCTATACTGTATGTTCCTGGTATGCTAACTACATCCTTGAGGATGGTTTTAAATTAGTGAAAACTCAAGTTAAGAAAGGCAAGAAGGCAAACAGGAGGCCAATATGTTTCAACCTTTTCTGTTACACACAGAAAGAAACATTGTCTAACATCTCTTAATAGGGCTCAGGCATGTGTGTACACCTGAAACAAGTGTCAAGAAACAATACTCACCCTTACCAAGTAAAATGCGCTCTGATATCTTCTATTTCTTTTTTTTCTTTTTTTTAATGATGGTCGTGATCCACTAAACTGATTTCCAACTAACCAATGGGACTCAGTTTAAGTGGGAGTTCAATTTGAACTGCAATAGGTCAAACCTGATAGCCTCATTCCACAAGTTACTAATGAACCCTTTAAAAAGCCAGCAGCCCACAGAGGCACTGACATCCCACAAGTACCAGACACACCCAGGTAGGCAGTGCCCTGCCCCTGTCCAGCAGCCCAGGTTTAAGCATCTCCCAACCTCCCAGCTTTTCCCAATAACCCAAAATGACTCTATCATGGGCCCTTCTGTTAACCTCTTTATAAATTCAGTCCATTCAATCTCCTAGGGTGGCAAAGGTGTGAAAAGCAATACTTCTCTTTTTGTCCCTAAACCAACCCCCTTCAACACTGAAGGGAAGAGAACCTTCCAGGGACCCAAAATTAAATGAGCAGGCTGGTCCCCCGTGCCTCTGTGTGTGGGTGATGTCCTCCCAGCCCCGGGTATGCACATGCGCGGCGCGCCCGCACGCACCGTGGATCTCGGTCTCCCTCCCAGTCTAATCCCCGGCAGATGCTGCCGCCGATGAAATGAGAAACCAGGGAAGCCCCTGGAGGCGGGAAGCACTCATCCGCACGACAGTGAAAGCAGCGGACTCACTCTCCACACCACAAAAGCGCCTGACAAGCGAGTCACAAAGTCATCTCCAGATCCAAACCGGGAAGGGGGGGAGGGCAAGCGAAGCAGACAAACTCGAGGAGCCGCGCTAGAGTGACCGGCCGAGGACACCCCGCGAAGGCCTGACCGCAGCCGCCCCTACCTCGGCGGGCCCCAAGTCCCTGGGAAGGCAGGTGAGCGCCGGCCGGGGGCGCGGGACGCCGAGGCCGAG